TCAGTGACTGAAGATTCATTTTGTCCCCTTCGTAACGTGCTAAACAGTTTTGGTAGTGTATCTTAAATTTCGACTGAATCTGGTAAGTGCTGATGTTTGCATGATAGATTAAGTGAGAGATGTCACTTGTAGTTTAACTCTTACCTAAAACCATATGATAGCAAAGCGGAAAGAAATGGAAACAGTCGTCTTTGAACGATACGCATTAACAATTAGCTACCTTGTCTTACATTCAAATGTTGACATGCAAAGAAAAAATGACTTGGAAAAACTTAGGAATTCCCCAAGGGCTGGCTGTTTATAAAAGGTGAGATTTCTGTGTGCTTGGGTGAGCACTGGAGGATCACCGCTGAGGTGTTGCCTTGTGATATCCCCGTCCACCACGGCCAGCTTCATTGCTTAGAATTACAACCAGCACCTGTAGGAAACCAAGGAGTTGCCGTTCCCTGGCCATCAGTTTAGCTGCAAGCCTGCATGGGGAGCATCTCAGATCCAGGGTTACGTCCCACAGCAGCAGTCGTGAGGCACGTAACTCGGGCACACGGTCATTAAGGACTCCTACAGTCAGTGGCCATTCTGTCCACTGTGACCCTTTCTCTGCGGGGACTTTTTGGTCTCCCCATGGTCCAAAGCTAAATCTCACATTAATTGGACCCCAATTCCTCTCTGGTCCTTTCTTAAGGCAACGAATTTACAGCTATGTAATTTATGCTTGAAATTGGTTTGTCTTTCCTTCTAGTTTGTGAAAATCAGTAAGAGTCTTGTTGGCAGAGGGTGCTGAAGCATGTGAATGTACTTAACTTATGTCAGTCTTTTGACTGTGGGACATGTATTCATCTGAGGAGCTGTGTGGCTACAGGGATAGCAACTGGTATTTAAAACCCAGTACCAGTAAATCACAGCCAATAAAGCAAATCTGATGTATTACTGCAGCTCAGGAGTGACATTTGACCATTGTACTATTGTTCTGACACTGAAGCTAGTAATGCAGTTTTGTGCCTTAAAGCAGTCCTGTTCTCCTCAGCAGATCATAACAATTAATTCCCGTCTGGCAAAGAATCAATAAAAGCAGGAGAACTTTTAGAAATTATTCCATACTATAAATCTGTACAACCAAAGTGTAAGTGCTGACACAGGTGTGGCCAGCAAATCCAGCTTTTAGCAATGGGGTATGAGGTCCACAGAGGAGCTGGCTGGCCTCTCACGTTCACGGTTTCACAGCTGTTTACACGCAATAAAATGTGACTGTGGCTGTGCCTGATGTAGACTGGCATAATCTGCATCACTTGCCATACCTTTTAAAAGACCAAGGGCCAGCCTAGAAAGGAAATCGGCACCTTCTCGTTGGGTATCAGGGAAACTCCTTTGAGTGCCCGACCTTAGGAACAGACTTCCAAGATCTGCCTTCAGATGGGTCTGGAGGATCTCCAAGAGGTGGGGTGAGAAAAGCCTCTCCTGTTCCTGCGGCTGTGGGAGCGGGCAGCAAGATCCCTGTGTCAGCAGCACAGCCCGAGGGCACCGCAGTCCGCAGCTCCGGTAACACAGCCAGTACCGACTCCGGGCCCTTTCTCCCCTTCCCTGTCGACCCTGTGTTTCATTAGCATCGAGAAGTTGCCAAACTAAACAGAGAGGTGCGCAGTCAGTGTAAGTATCTGCTTTGTTTCTGGCCTCTGAAGAGCTCTGTTTTTTAACCGCGGGTCGCCATTTGAGGTACCTGAGCTCTCCCCAGCCCCAGGATCCCAACAAATGTCCTTCGTAATACTCTACGGCCTGGAACTATAGTCTCAAAATGCCACGCATAGGAAACACCTCAGATAGATACCCTCCAACCGTGCTGCAAGGTCGGCCACTAGGTCATATCTCTGAAGTCAAAGGAAGATGCTGCTGGTTTTAACGGCGAGGTGCCATCGGCACCTGTCACGTCACTCCGTAATACCAGATGCATTCTACGCCTTACACCTCTGCAACGTGCCTGTTACGAAGCACTTCAAACGTCTGCTGGGGGTTTTGCGTATAATTTGTGCTTTGTTCTTTTATAACTAGTGTGCATACATTATTTGAAGAAAACAAATACCACCTGATCCTTCACACAGAAAAGACTGGCACTGTAAATACATCATGTTTCTGTATTCATATCGGGGGCTGTTTCTTATTTACCAAGTTTTCACAGTATGGACTGAAGGGAAACTTCTTTAAATAGCTTAAAATGAGAGGAATCAAGGTTGTATGTGTCATGGGCCTAAATCCATTTTGACTAATTGAATCAGACTATTTTAGGTATAATTCAAAATTCACATGTATACTTTTAGGGTTTTTAAGAAAGCTTGATCAGCATTTTCAAGTAAAGAATGTTTTATTTGGCATACCGAAACTTTATTCTAGCTGTGGAATAAGAATACTGGTAGGAGGTGTTAAGAGATTTGGAGGGCTGTGAAATGGTCTAAGTTTTCATAGGCTACAGTGAAACCAGAACTTGCTCAATTTAAAACACGTCTAACGTTATAACTGTGAAGCCAATTCTGCATGAGCCTTGCTTGATCTCTGCCTCACTGAGACATCCTTCAGACGTATTCTGTTCAGCACATCAGCTAAGAGCTTTGACAGCAGTTCACACTCAGTGCTTGCAACACCATCAACTGAAAGAATTTCCCAGGAGCACTCCGACTCCCATCTCCCCTCTCCAGAGGCACTGCTTCTAACACTGACGCTCGATTCACTTGCAGTAAAGTAATATGAGCAACTGTGATGACTCCCTTTCCCTGAAAGGTGAGATGGGAAACCCGCAATCACTCTACCGTACACTGATTTCCTCCAAAATGGGAAGCACTGATAAATACCCTCACACATGATCGTTTGATGGCAATTTGGAAATACCTGCATGCCTTTTACGGTAGGCAGGCACTAGCAAATGTAATTTCAGAAGAATCTGGGCCACCGACACTTGCTGGTCCTTCAAGTAGGAGCTAGTCAAACAGGGCAGGACTACGACTTCAACAGGACAACTGGACTGTAAATTCATCACCACGTGTACGCAATCTGCCTGTCCATCCCTAACGGTTTTAGGCCTTTTACGGTAGGCAGGCACTAGCAAATGTAATTTCAGAAGAATCTGGGCCACCGACACTTGCTGGTCCTTCAAGTAGGAGCTAGTCAAACAGGGCAGGACTATGACTTCAACAGGACAACTGGACTGTAAATTCATCCCCATGTGTACCAATCTGCCTGTCCATCCCTAATGGTTTTAGGCAGAATATGAGTTCGTTCTGGGATTTCAATTGCAAGACAGGAATAAACTTTTCACATTACTGAATAGCATATAACACATGGCATACTAAATGTGTTCAAGTACCTTCTGAGGGTAGGTATCTAGGCAGTTTACGCTAATGAGGGTTTGTAACCACAGGAAGAGATGACTTCTTAATTTTCCTGTGATTTCTTTTTTCTCGAGAACAAGCGTAGGAAATCAGATGCAAAGAACGACATACAGTGCAAGAGCAGGACTGCACAGCTGACCACTCAGAAGGCAGGACATGCACAAGGCAGGATACAAAACTCGCCTGATCCTGCATAAAGTTTATGATACAAGCCTCATCACTGCAATCTCAAGTTTTTTAGCTGCAAATGTATCTAAACTTCACCTCCCAGATAATACAACATAACAAGGGGAATAGTAGATCATCCACCAAAAGGTAAAATGTTAAATAACAATTGTATGGCTTTTTGAAAGATGTACAATACAATTCAAAAAAGCTCTGGAGCTCAAGGCAAGAGTAATTAGAAACATTCATGGCATGCATGATAAGGAAAGCCAGACTACAGTATTGTAATTATCTCTTTTGACGATAAAATATATGAATCTGCCAGAAATTAAATAGTCCCGATAAAACCATAATGTTCTCGAAAAGGTTTTGGCTGTAATGTAAAATACCTTTAGTCTTTCTTCTCAACAAATGCGTCCGTAAATGTATGATAGAGAAAAAAAGTTCTGCTCCCATTTTGAGCTATAAAGCAAATAAACAAAAAATGATACTTAAATTCATAAAGTGATTTCCTTAAAGTGGATGAAGCAAGCAAATTATTTCAAGTAAAGCAGTTTTAATAATACTATTTGAGGCTACTTGTATTACATAGAATATCGTTCTGTCTTTGATATAGACATATGCTAATGTGTACTTATTTGCACCCATTTAAATAGGAGTAAGTCAGGAACAAGGCTACTACAGTATGTCATCTCCTTAAGTACTTCTCTGAGATGGTTGTAGTGGCAATTTTTCCAATTCTAGTTCTGTTGCGTAGTGCATTTGGGCTACAATGCTGCCTATAGCCATTACAGTTTTGAAATACAGAAGAGAGTACATGAGATTGCACTAACAGTCTGACAAAGGCCACTGAGGTTGAGAGTTACGAATGCTGGAAGGTTCATACACAGGAGAAAAGACAGGAGTTAGTGAATTGCATTTCCCAGTTCGCATCCACACCAAAGTGATTTAAACACAGAATATTTTGTAGGGTTGGTCGGTTGGCTTTTAGTATTGCGTACTTTACCAGGGTTATCAGCTGACCTATGACCATGCTATTAAAACTAACTGAGGACTGATATAGGTGAGGACAGATGGAGAAAACATACTAAAAATGCTTACATTTGTCTAATAAGAACCTATTGTGTCATTTAATGAATTTCAGAAAAACCAAAAGCAACTTACTGTCTTGAGGGA